GCCGCGATTAAACCTACTACATCCCCTTTTGGTTCATTTGGAAGTGAGCTCCGGGTTGTTCGCAATCGTTACTCAAACAATATGTGCGTAACATGAAAAAAGGACTTCATTCAACAGTCACAAATGGCTTGGTGGGACCCAATAGTTGACATTAACCTGACTACTCACACGACTTTGCCTCACTTTGAGACTGAACGGTTAGAAACAATCCTTCCATATCTCCAGCCTAAAACTGCAGCCCGAAGAAGCGCAAAACCAAATGATGTTCAAGGGTGGATGCAGCATGGTCCCACAACGAACTAATTCAAACAGTGGGCAGCTTAAAACTCGTCCGGCATTTTTTCAGGGTGTAGGTTTAGGCGACAGTAGTAGTTGGGGTTTTATCTCAATTTTTTTTTCTGAAAAACGTTCACAAAAAACGTGTTTCAAGGTAAACCATGTCTGCTCAGCACACCTATGGAATCGAGACGGATTCTATGACATTGCAGCGGTTTGTGCTGGCTGAGCAGCGTAAACATCCTGAAGCCACCGGTGATCTCACAAATCTTCTCACTTCACTTCTTACTGCATTTAAGGTAAGCCTCCATGCCAGTGAGTACCATGGGGAGTGAGGCTTTTATTTACCTGTTCGTTTACACTTCTTTCGAATTTATAAGATGTTAGTACCTCGAAACGATGGTCGGCAGGACTACATACATTCTGTTTCCGGTGGAGGGGGTCCATCGCAGCTGCATGCTCGATGGCATACTTGGCGATTGCCTCGAGCAGAAATGTTATTGCTTGTTTTTGATGCTGTGTGGTGCTACATGGGCGCTATTGCATGATACGGGGTATTCCGAAATTTCTGCCTACTCCTAGGCTTAGCCCTAGAGGATGCCCCTGTATCTTGCGAAAGTGGCGCCATGTGCTCGATTGTCTGCAATTACAGCAGATCCACCCCTTCTCCGAAAACCAAATGTGTGATTCACAAATTAAAATATTTACTCTACCTGTCTCTCCCGTATCGCGTTCCTTTTAACCCATTGCCGCCGCGGCATTTTTCAGCTGGCCTGTGCGGTGGCCGGCGCCAGTATACACTCGCCGCCGCCAGTTTACACTCGCAGCCGCGTGCAGTGCGATGAATGGAGCTATACCCTCTATATATAAAGCAGTAGTTTGGTGTGTTTGTTTGTCCAGCGTTCCATGGCTCCCTTGTTTAGTTTATTTCATATGCATTTCTTTCATAAGGTCCAAACATTGTCTTATAAACCTGCACTATTTAATGAATAGATCTGACATGTGGAATTAATTATTATCACATAGTTAGAAAATTAATGCTAACAAAAGTGCGGCAATAAAAAACTGACGCTTTTACACTACTGACCACGCGGCGGCGCGGCGCTCTCTTCGTCTGCTCCTCCAAGGCTTACAATTAGTCCGCCGATTTCGAAACTGCCACGTGGCGACGAAATAGTAACTGCCCCTTGGACGAGCAGACGAACAGAGCGCCGCGCCGCCGCGTGGTCCCCCAAACCCACTTAGCACCCAAAAAAGGTAAGCTGCGATTGAAGTTTTCGCCATAACAATCAATGATGTACAACTTTCTTTATATGATGCAATCCTACGTTTATACGTTGCTCTCCTATTTCGGAACTGTACTCACACTGCATCAAACCGTGAGAAACTTTCGAGCATATCCATGTGCAGCACGTATACGCAATGGATCAAACACCGTATGGTTGGCTGAACTCTGTGTGTAGTTCCAAAAATGCTTTAGTCGGCTCGATTGATCTTGGTTTAGCGCGACTTAAGCACTGCGGAACCCATAATGAATGATTCGATATTGCTGCATCCAAAGCTACCGAAGTAGTCTCAGGACCATGCTGTTGTAATTTTCGTGGCGTTTCAGGCAATTTCAAGCGCGGTACGAAAGGCCGGCTTGGCTAATCTCTATGGTATTGCAGGCAACACCAACGTTCAAGGAGAAGAGGTTTTATTGCAAATCCTCTTGTATATGATGAACGAGGGTTTCAGCAGCGTAATTATTGTTTTAGGTCAAAAAGCTGGATGTTCTTAGTAATGAGCTGATGATCAACATGATACGCTCATCGTACACGTGTTGTGGAATGGTTTCGGAGGAGAACGATAACGTGAGTACATTTTCCCTAAGGCTGCTCAATTCTTGACACACGGCTGCCGATGTTCATTGAAAACGCTCTTAAATGATATTTTAGCAGCCATATCTTGAGCTTTTTCGAGGATATTCACATGAGGGGTGGGTCAAATAGTGTACACCCTGTCCGGAACTCCCTTCCCTAAAAAACTGAGCCTACTGTAAGTGGGTGGTTAGGATTGATGGCGCCAGTATACATAGTTACTCAGGGGATCGTTATGCCGATATAATCCCAGGAGGCGAGGATGGTCTTCGAGGAAAATAAAAAATGATCACACACCACTGCCCTCCTTTAAAACTTGGACCTAGGGAGAGGGCTAGAAGGGAGAATGCTGGCAGTGGGGCAACGATGCCCCCGAATTACACCAGCACCGAACTGAGGCTGCAGATACCAGTAGTTCACAGCCGATATCGCGATCCCCTCCAGAATGGCAATCCAACAGGGGAAGTTCCCACAGCACCCTCCCGACTGGGGCTCCCACAACGAAATCCTGTCTTCCCTTCCCTAAGCTGAGTGAGGATAGCATCGGGGACGAGTCCCCTTCCGGCGTCGCACCGTTTATTCATCCTTTTTCGCTTAACGATTATGAGAAGTGATTAAGGGAGTCAGATTAGTTATTGTTGGTAAACTTCAGATAATCGAAGTTGACGAGGGTAAACTCGGCAAGTACATTGTAACCTTCGATCCGCTAGATGGGTCTTCGAACATCGATTGCCTTGTCTCAATTGGTAAATTTGTCACATTTGCAGATAGAGAATAACTGTAATAAATAAAACAGAATTTTGATAGCTTTTTCATGCCTTCATGCTTGTTTCTTTTTAGGTTCGATTTTCGGTATTTGGAGAAAAGCTTCCGACGACGTAGCTCCTGCAACGAAAGCCGATTTCATGCAGCCGGGCAGGTGAGCCAGGCAGTTCAGCATGCTGCATGAGGATTGCTTAGGAGATTGTACATACCTTAGTGCTATGGTAGCTGCCGGATATTGCCTGTACGGTTCCGCCACTATAGTCGTACTTTCCACTGGAGACGGTGTGAACGGATTTATGCTTGATCCGGTAAATGATTAATTTTGTTCTAGTTGTTAGCGCCGTCGTGGATAGCTCTACCTATTCTAATAAATGAGCTAACCACAGATAGCTCTCGGACGAGGAGGGTGCTGAGGGCGCAAACTTTGAGAATCTAGCGTATCGCGAGGTACGAGCGTAGCCCCAGCAGTTCGAACGATGTACCAGCGATCAGGGTGAATATCGGTCGAGGAAATCCTCGACAGGGGGGTCGTACCTGTCGGGCTGGGTCATGGGGGGTCGTACTCTTGGGGTCAGTAACAGCAGTGGTATCGTGGTGCAGATAGGAGTAAGAGGGTGTATTTATTTATAGTACATGTACCTTGCGTACATGAAACAAATTTAAAAGAAACAGTCAGGAAAACAACAACACTGATAACATTGATAACGATACAAACCAGAACAAAGTTTTAAAAAATGGAGAAGAACGAAGCTAAGAAGTGGAGGAAATAAGAGAACTCAAAGGGTGACCAACCTCCAGAGTAAATAGTAGTAACGAAATACTAAGACAGTAACCTGCTAAACGTAAAACTTATGCGTATTTCTTTTTAACTGTGCGATGCTACTAGGCACTGCGAACTATGATTCGACTAATTGATGGCGCAATCAGAATAACAGATGAACTGCAAATGTAGTTAAATAGCTGCATTCGCAGTCGTGAACTTCCTGCAGGTAGGAGATGAAGACGTCATGCTTCATAGTCCACATCCAAGAGTTGGGGTAGGCACCGGAAGTGACGTGGCTGCTGCCGCATTTGATAGAAGTTGCATGGATAAGCTGTTGCCAGCATGCTTTGCTGATATCCAGCGATGTA